CAAAGGGTAAGCTAGTATAAGAAGAACAACGTATAGCAAGATATAAGTAATATGAACAACTGCAACTATCAACACATCGTCAGCCTACATCTCATCGATTGTACAACAAACCAACAATTGGCAAATAATGCATCGTCAGGCATATCATCTCGGAGATCTCCTACAACAACTCAGCCTTTCGGCCTTCAACAACTCAGCTATTATGGCCTACAACAACTCAACCATTATGGCCCACAACAACTCAACCATTATGGCCTACAACAACTCAACTATTATGGCCTACAACAACTCAGCCATTATGGCCTACAGCAGCTCATATCATCATACAACACAGCACAACTTTACAGCACAACATATCATCTTACAGCACATAAAGACATCTTACTACAATATTCATCTGATACAACTCAACATCATCATACAGTATTATCTACTAGTCATCACTTCATGATCATCAACTTCAACTTCAACTTAGCCTAAAACAACTTCTAACAACATTTAGTGAAATTACATCTCTGCGCCCGGCGCACTCGTGGTTGCGCCCAGCGCGGTGCAACCAGAGAGCACCAGGGAGTCCAGCGCGCCCAACCCAAGCATGCCCGCGCCCGGCAGGACCCAGCCAGAGAGCCCCAGGCTCACACGCGCCTGGCGCAATACCTATTGCGCCCAGCGCATGCCACGAAGAGACTCCAAGGAGTCCCATGCGCCCAGCGTGCCCAAACCCGCGCCCAGCGTGGGGAAGGTAGAGACCTCCCTTGGTCTCGCGCCTAGCACAATTCGAATTGCGCCCGGCGCCCCCATGGCAGAGACTCCAAGGAGTCCTCGCGCCCAGCGCGACCAATATCGCGCTCAACGCCATGCCAGAAGCCCAAAAACAAGTCACAACCGACATCGCGCCCAGCGCGGTTCAACCCTCGCCCGACGTGGGCCATCCAGAGGCTAACATCTTCAAGCACACCCGGCGCACACATCTTTGCGCCCGACGGGCTTGCCTAAATGCTGCCCTCAGGTGGCCACGCGCCCGGCGCGAAGAACTGCGCTCAGCGCGAGTTCAGCAGCAAACCTCATACTTTCGAAATCTCTTCAAAAACCTGCAAAATAATCAGGAAACTCCACATGCAATCCATCCAAGATACCACATTTTCATCCAAGAGTTCAAAAACAACCTCTTTTTACACATGCAATCACAATTTAAGGAAAACCCAAAAAATTCCATCAAAACCTCAAAACTTCAAAAGGAACATTTCTACCAAAAATTCAACCAACATCAACAGCAATTGAGCTTGCAAAACTCATTCTCGATCAAAATCAACAACAAAACTAGCTTCCCTTACCTCGGGCAAAGATTCCGAGCTTCCGGGAATAGAAAGATGAAGAACAGAGGAGAAAAGAGTCGGAGAAGAAGATGAAGGAAAGAAGCTCCGCACGGGTTCAACAAGAAATCCAACCTTCAATCAACACCTTCAGCCACCAAAAACCACAAGCTCAAAAGAGAGAAAAGGAGAATCGAGAGTAAAGAATAAGAGTGAAAGAGAGTGAGAGTTGAGGGTTCTTGAGTTTGAGGAAGGAAGAAAAGGGAAGGGGGTCTCACAGTTTGGAATAAAACTATAACCTTATATGTGTTTTATATAAAATAATGACATGATTTAATTGAAACTCTAAATTATTTTAATGAATATATATATATATATATTATATATATATATATATATATGAGTAGCGGCGGAAAGTAAAATTTTAAATTTATATGCACAACTTTTAGTTAAAACTGAAATTTTAATTATTATTTAACAAGTAAATCATACTTAAAGTGTATTTCATGAGATTAAAATTTAAAAGATCGATACATATACGTCATGCTTAAAATTCTTTCCATGGTGAAGGAGATAGACTTCAACTGGGGCATCAAAACCAAAGCTCCTACAAACAATCTTTGCCCAAAACTAAGATTTCAAATGTTAATTATTTGTATTTCATCATGTATATGTCAATTTATTATTATGACAAAGAAGTTTGTCGTGTTTCAAATAAGAAAAAAGGAAAGTGATTTAGCTAAAAGAAGGTTGTTATTAGGATATAAACAAGTTTCACAGTAATAAAATAAGAGAAGAAATAATAACTTATAAAATATAAACATATTTCAATGATTGACAGACTTTTTAGATAATGATTAAAAGTAAAACCGTGAGAACTTAGGCGTAAAGCGGACAATATCTCATAACTGTAGAATTGTGTGTGAAATAATCTTATAAAAATAACCCTCATAAAATATCTCATAAGACAAATATCATAAAATAACTCTATCAATGGTATCAGAGTCCATAACTCATAATGTGATATATAAAAACAAGCTCCACTGCATGAAAGGTTAGGTCCCTTGTTTGAGAGGAGAATTGTTGAGATATAAACAAGTCCCACGTCAATAAAATAAGAGAAGAAATAACAACTTATAAAACACAAACATACTCTAATGATTGAGAGACCTTTTGGGTGATGACTAAAAGTAAAATCATAAGAGCTTAAACCCAAAGAGAACGATATCTCATCATTGTGGAGTTGTGTATGAAATAACCTTATAAAATATCTCTTTAGATAAATACCATAAAATAACTCCATCAATTGTTGAGGACAAGAGTATCTAATAAATACTATCATAATCAATACCTTTTTTCACAATCAACAAAAATCTAGCCATAAATAGAAATAATATAATATTAATTTATAATATTCATTTAGAAATAATTTAAATTAATTAATTAATAAACTTAAAAATTAAAATAAATAAAAAATAATTATAATATTACTAAATTTTGATATATATATATATATATATATATATATATATATATAAAGATAAATGTATATAAAGTATTATATATATAGTGTGTAGGGAGTGTATA